ACTTAACCCTTTTCTTTATTTCTTCCTCTCTTTTCTTCCTCTAAACCGTGGGTCTCTCTCTTCCTCTCCAAAATCACTTTTTTGCTCAAAGATCTTTAGATCTACTCACTTGGAAGCATCTCCTTGCCTAGCTCCTTTGAGAAAGGTTGTAGATCTCATCAAGAGCTTCGTCTTGATCCAAGTAGTTCGTGGTTTCGTCGCCAGTGGCTTTTGGGTTGTTTTCTCCTCTTCTCTCTTAAGGTGGGGATTTCTTGAATTTTATATACATGTTTTGCTATCTAAATGTTGATTTTAAAAGTGTTTTGAGATTATTGTGTTGAGTTTGATTTTTGCTCCAAATGTAAAGAGAGTTTTGAAAATAGGGGTTTAAATCTCAACCCTTTTGCTAACCCTAGAGGGTTTCCTCTTTATTTAACTCGAGGAATATGATTTGGGTGGGTTTCACCCTGAAATGGGAAACGTGGGGTTTTTTATGAAAACCCTAGAAATTGGAGATTTTTGGACAAATGTGGAAATGTTCATGGAACTTCTTTTCTTTTGATAAAAAGATGAGTGAGCATTGATTTCATAATGTGCTTTGCAAAATATGGAAAGTTTTTGACATATTGAAATGGGTGTTTTGTTTTAAAAACTATTGTTGAATAAATGATGATATATAGTTGTGGAATGACAATTGTTGTGCACCATGGATAATGATTGTAGCTATGTATTAATGGCTCATGGTGATCTTGTAAAAGAACAGTGAAGAGGAGAAATGGAAATTGTGAATGTTGACATTATTATGGAGACATTGAAAATGGAGAAATGTTATGAGATATTATGTATTGCATCATGTTCTCATTTGATTTATTATCATTGTTACATATATTGAAATGAATTGGAAAATGTTTACTTTGAAAAAGATTATGTTGTAATGAGAACTGTAAAAATGTGTTATGGGATAAATACGGTGGTAAGTCCAGATAGGTGGTGTAGATGAGTTTGATAAGTTGGCCTGAGTGTCCGTGGTGAAAGACCAGAAAACTGCGCGGATAGGTGTCGAGCCTTCTGGTTAATACCGCTAAAAATGACAGTTTGGTAGTACTCGCAGAGTCTACTTGCAGACACTAGCCTAGGGATTACCAGTGTCGTATTTACCGTCTCTATTGATTAAAATTGGAAGTTTGGAAATTAATGAGATTGCATTACATTTTTTAGAATATGGTGATTTTCAAGAAAAGCGTGAGATGAAGTTTTCTTTAAAAGTGCATTGCATGGCATTGGCATTTGCATTTTACATTGAGAGCTAGCATAACTGTATATACTTTGTAAGAAATTGTCTACTGAGCTTTATGCTCACCCCTATGGGATTTGGTGCAGGTAAAGATGTGGTGACCCCATCAAATTGAGAATGTGGTTGTGTTCTTACGAAGAGTAGATTACTTTTTATTTTGTTGTGACTTTTTTGTAAAGCCAAGGGCTATTTTTGTATGGGTCCGAGAGGCCATTTTTGTGTAACCGGGCTTGAGCCTTGGAAAATGTAAGCCCGTAAGGGCATTTTATTTATTTTGGGACTTGATGCTCTACATGCTATGGATTCATGTATTTCTAAATCCTTGAATGTATACATCGCATGTGGGACTTTTGTATAAACCTTGGAATTTATGATGTAAAGGTTGAGGATTTGCAATGATTATGTAGCGAATGTTGATTGATGGGTTATATCTATGTTGGATTATTTTGGGGCGTTACAGATGTGCACAATGAATACAGGAGGATTATGTATATGCTATTGAATATATATGTGTTATATACATATATATTACATTTGAACTCAGATCTGTGTTGTTTTTGTTATTGTTATTGTTGTTGTTGTTGTTATTGTTGATGATGATGAAGAGATTTGAGGTTTTTTTTTTTCATAAAGACGATGGAGAAATCTGAGATTTTTTTTTCTCTTGATGATCGTGCTAATAAAATAGATTGAGAGAAAGAAAAGAAAGATTTAGTTAAATAGATAGAATTTGGTTTGACTTGGTATTTCAACAGGTAGAAAAAAATTCAATATAAATTTTTTCAACAAATAGGGAAAGGGAAAAAAGAGGTGAAGAGAGAAACCAATAGAGACAAAAATAGAGGTACAAACAGAAAGAGAGAAAGAGAGTTTAAAATGGTGTGAATTTGAACATATAAAAAAAATTATAAAAATTCAATATATAGGTTAAAAAAAATTAACAGGTAAAAAAATATTCGAACAGATAGATAAAAATTTAAATAGATAGAAAAAAATTTGGACAGATAATTATAAATTTGAACAGATCGTTAACAAAAAGCCAAAAGATAAACTAAGAATAAAATTGGAAACAAAATTCCAAAATCAATGAAAGCAATTCTCACCGAACTATTTGACAAATGATGGATCTCTCACTAATAAAAAATTCACTGAATCTAATAACTTATACCTTCCTTACTTTGGACCTTTCACCAATTTTATCAATATAAAAATCATTTGGATTAAAAATAAATTAAGGAATTAAGAATCTAATTGATAAAACTAAAATATAACATCTATCTATCTATATTCAATATATTATATAAGGAAAATGAGATTTTTAACTCACAAATCTTGTGGGAGCTTTAATATTCCAATATTAATTTTCTAAATTTTTTATTTTAAAAAAAAAAAAAACCTCACCATTTATTGACTTCTTCCAACTCATAAGCCTTTTTGACTTCTCCCATACCTACTGCTACACCATTTTCAACTTCTCCCATATACTATGGTTAGTGATGGGACTGTTAAATTATTTTTATAAAAAATCTAAAAACAATAATTTTGTATATTTAAAATAAATATAAATTCTTATTAAATCTATCTATCTATCTATATATTATATAAGTAAAAAAAAGTTTCTAACCACAAGTCTTGTGCGAACTCCAATACCTCAAACTAAAATTTCTAATTTTTTAAATCCTCTATAGCTCTCATTCAAGGGGGGAAAAAACACTCTTGATTTATGACTTTCAAATGGAAAGTATATCAAATATATAAAATAAAAAATAGAAAGTATTCTAATTCATTTCAAATTTCAAATTTGGGAGCACTAACTATGGAAAGCATTCTATTAATTCAAATTTAAAATTATAATAATTTATCCCATAATATATAAGCTTTAAATAATGATCTATTCCATGATTTATCTATATACATCTATATACTATTATAACTGCAAAATATTATTATTTCATTAAGGTTGAAGTTATATTTCCATTTTCTCATTTTTTTTTGTTTAATTTTTTGTTAATTAGTGTTACAATATGATTGGTCTATAAATTAATTTTATATTCTTAAAATAAAATTTCAAATTTGGACTCTTACTTAAATTATGTTACTATAATTGGAATGAGATCAATATTCATTCCTTAAATTTTGCATTCTTTATTAAATTACAAAATAAAATTTCAAATTTAAATTCTTTTTCAAATTATATTATTACAATTAGAATGAGATTCATATTCACATGTGTCATAATATTATTAGTCTAAATATAATTTGTTTTAAATACACATGTTCAAATTATTAATTGCTATTAATTTTTTTTTCTTTTTTTGTTTTAAATTTTATAAAAAAAAATATATCCTTCCAAACTATAAGGACTTGAACAATAATATTTTTTAACATATTTTTTTTTTAATAAAAGAACAAAACATAACTTTTTTAGTACTTACCAAACATGATGGATTTTGTTAGATTTTTTTTTTTTTATATCAATTGTCAATTAAAGAAATTAAAATAAAGAATAAAGGTACCTTTGACTCAAATTGTTAAAAAGTTACTTTTGCTAAAATAAATTAGAAAGAAATGTTAATTTTTTTTAATTAAAAGTGATAGTTCGTTAAACTTTTTTATTTAAAAAAAAGGGGGGGGGGAATCAAGCCTCTCTGATTCAAATCATTCAAAATGTCTTTCTTGACATAGAAATCTAAAAAAATATGGAAATAAATTGCGTCCAATAGGATTTGAACCTATACCAAAGGTTTAGAAGACCTTTGTCCTATCCATTAGACAATGGACGCCTTTCATTTATTCCATACTATTCGAAATTCAGAAGAACTACGTAGGGGGGCCATTGAACAGCTAGAAAAGGCCCGGTCTCGCTTACGGAAAGTGGAAATGGAAGCGGATCAGTTTCGAGTGAATGGGTAAGCTTTTAAAATTGCGAATTTTTATTTATTTTACTATTTAATAAAAAAAAAAAAGGGTGGCGACAAAAAAAAAAAAAAAAAAAAAAAAAAAAAAAAAAAAAAAAAAAAGTGAGCTAATATGGCACTTTTCAAACAACTCTTTATTCGATGATCCCTTTCTAAAATGTGTAATTTTTAAAAAAAAAATTAAGAAAAATTCTATTGAAAATATTAAGTATATTGCTTTTTATTTTGTTCATTAATATTAAACTTTTAATTAATTTTATTTATTATTTAAAAAATTAAATTTGCAAATAATTTATATATTTATATATAATTTTGTTTTGGTTGCTCAAGTTATTTGGTATTTTTGTCCAAATCCACTCAAATTTAATTTAAAATTTTGAATTTCTGCATATTTTCTCACTTAATTAAAAACTATATTGTTCAATCTTTAAAAAAAATTAAGCTTGATTCCAATTGCTTGGGTTGAACTCATCTAAATTTGTAATTCTAGTAAGGGAGATTGAAACTTACATAAATAAATTTGTGACAAATTAAAAAATAATAAATAAATTGTGATAAAATCATGAGACTTAACTTGTAAATTTCAATCTTTTTTGTTTTCATAATTTACATATAAAAATTTAACTATTTATATTATTTGATATAAAAATATATTACTATTGATTTTTTTACATACCGTGCCCCACTAGTTTATTTTATTATAAAAGGCAAATTTATCAATATTCTGTCTACAACTCTAACTCTCTCTCTCTCTCTCTCTCTCTCTCTCTCTCACACACACACACACACTCACACGAAGCCTGAAAAAGATGTTGTCATTATTCTTCATGATGGAAAGCAACGGTTTACATCTTGATATTGTTAAGTATAATATCCTCATCGATGCATTCTGCAAGGATAAAAAGCTTGATACTACAAGGGCCCTTTTCTATAACCTTTCTTTTAAGAGATTACAACAAAATGTTAAGACATATAATATGATTATCCGAGGTCTTTGTGAAGAAGGCCTACTCTATGAAGCTAAAGAGTTGTTCATTACAATGGAGCAAAGTGGTTGTTTTCCAAATGATGTCACTTACAACACTATCATCCGAGGATTTATTGGACAACACAAGTGCTATGAGGCATTAATACTCGTTGACGAAATGGCTAAAAGGGGTTTTTCAGCAGATGCATTCAATTTTCCCTTGATCATAGATATACTGTCAACTTAAGGACAAGATCTTGCTCTCCAAGAAGTGATAAAGAAGTTCATGCCAAAAGATATTGAGTAAATTTCTTAAGCTATGAGCGTAAAGCTACACACATCTTAAATTATATATTATTAAGTGAAGCTCTTTATTTTTTTATTTTTCGTTATGTATTGACATGGGCTTATGCATCCTGTGGGGACATAATTTTTGAATAGCAACACGTGGCCGAAGTGGCACCGACGTGTCAGCTGAGGTGCCACGTGTCCTAATCATGACGCCGAGGTGATTTCTGCTAGGCCGAGGTTATCTCCGAAGATATCGGAATCCGCGATAAGCAGATAAGGGACAAGAGTCCTAGAATGAGAGAAGACTTTAGTTTCGATAAAGATAAGACTCTTAGAGTGTTTATCCCAATCCTACTGGGAGTCCAAGATTAGCAGTAATCCAAAGTCCATTGAAGCTAGGCTTCTATTGGGATTAGGTTAGTGATGATTATAAAAAAGAGGCACCCCCATGGGTCTAAGGTATGCTTTTTATGTTCTGAATAGTGTGTTAAGCACTTTTGCTATCTTTGATAGATAACTGACTTGATTGTCGGAGTGCCCCCGAGTGGACGAACCACCGCCGGAATCTCATCTTTCTGATTCAGGTCATTCAGGCGTCATCTATTCTGCCAGTACTCTCCAGTTGAATACTAATTTTGTATTGTGGTTAGAAATCGACTCACACAATTTGGCACCATCTGTGGGAAAGAAAGGAGAATAGATGGCCAATAACGGACAGAAAGAAAAGGTTGGGGATGACACTCCTACTGGGAGTGGGAAACCTATTGACCTTGACGTCGAAGAAGACAACTGCAACAAAAAGACTCGTGATAAAAATCACGAAGAGAAAGACGTCGGCAAGGAGGGCGATGTACGAAAGAAATCAGACCAAGACGGGTATTGTAACGAAGATGACCTCCAGGTATGAAAAGATAGATGCCTGTGGAGGGACGACGAGATGAAGGAACTGGAAAACAAATTGGTGGACCTACAATCGGTCGTCAATTTCATGATGCAGAACAATGTTATGCAACCACCGTTTCTGTTACGAGATACGCCGATTCCAGCAGCCAAAAAAGATGCCCAGACAGGGGGGCAGAGGACAATTCTTGTGACTCCTGAACATGGTAGAACCAAGGAGCACTCTCATCTGTCTTCAAGGGAGGTCGGTCGAGGAGAATCAAGAAGGGGAGATTCACGGAGGACGCATCGCACCAAGGAAGCTGACCCCAAAGAATATCAGCATGTTCAGGGGAAAGAGCTGTGTTTCGACGCAACCAACGGAGAAAGGTCCAAAAGGACTCACAATGATACTAGGAGCATCACACCAAAAAGGCTGAAATCCATTGATAGCCGAGCTCTCGGACGGACCAAGGAGGATCTGAGGGGTTACTTCCAGAGGAAGCAACAAGATGCCGAGATAACCTCTCCAGTCAAGCCAAGAACATCGTTCTCGGTGGAGTTGGAAAAATTTGAGGCCCCAAAGAGGTTCAATATGCTGAGGTTACAGATATACGACGGTAAGTCAGACCCTAACTTTCACGTCGGCTTATGTAGACTGCCCCGAATTCTCTCCACATGCCCCCCCTTTCGGAGAGGGCGCGAATTGGGTTCTAGCTACTACAGTTCGGACTCCTATCACGCTTCTGAATCTAATCTCACAAAGTGCAATGTAAGACTGATAAATCACCAAAGAGTCCAATCCGGCAAATCATTTTGGAAAATCGATTTTAATCAAAAAGCACAAAAACATGGACTACTTTGCCAGATTTCAGAGTCGCCACCTAAATATTTTATTTTGAAAAATTTAGGAAACCTTGACTCTTGCCTAAGGCCACGTGTCCGTCATCACTAAAGTTGCCTTGACTCGGGAACTTGGGTACGAGGGGGGAAGGTCATGGAATGAGCATCCCCGCTCGCCCGATCAAAGGATCGGCCTCTACTAAGAATGATATGTTGGTTTTAAAAACACATGTGTTCTTATTCCGGTTTATTAGCTAACCTTACTATGTGATGCGCGCAGCATACAAGTATAGACTCAATCACGCGGATTGGAACAAAACAACTCATGTTTGTTTTTCGAAAATGGTTTGAAAGTGCTACTCGCAAGTAGGCCAAAGTACGGATTTGCCACCCTCAAGTGGGCTTAGAAAAACATGATTTTGCCACTCCGCATAGTGGGCTTAAAACTCACAATCATCGAGTTGTTCCAATTCAGGCAATCAAGCCTCCACCCACAGGCATTCATGCAGTTAACCACTTAAGCACATAGCCTCATGAAAAGCATGCTATCATGGCATTATGCAAGCACACTCATGCAATATGCGCAAGCATGCTAACATGGCAACACTCACACTCATGCAAGGATGCTAAAGCATAAACACTTACAGTGTACTCCGAGCCAAAACAAAAGCTAATTAGAAATCATGCACGATCCTTACTATGTTAAAATGCCTAATGCAACACATGCAAAATGTATTTAATATGCTCGGCTATCTAAGATGGCATATGAAATGCAGCAATTGATACATATATTCAAGTAGGAATTGAGATACGATGCAGTTTGAATGATGCGCCGAGCCCGGTGCATGTAATACAAATAAATGATGCAAACATGCAAAGCATAAGATATGCTAATTGAAAAATGCCCTAAAACTAACCATCGAAAGCGGTTAAGTAAAAAGGAGAAAGAAATGGGATTGGAAGACATGCACACACGCACGCACACTTATTACAACATTGCGCCCTCGCGACGGAGAGTCCGAATAAATACGCTAAGCTAATCAACTAATCTAATTAAGCTAATTAGACTAATTATTACAAATTAAACGAATAACTAGCAAACTAATTACTAATTATTACAACAATTAACTAATTAACAAATTAATTAATTACATTACAAAATCAAGTTAAATAATTAAAGCTTTAAAACTATGCTGCCCCAGCAAGTTAGAGATGTTGAACATGCATGTCTCAGTTTCTGCCCCAAAAATCTCTCCAGTTTGCTCTCTTGAGACTCTGTCTGCAAGGTGTCTCCAAGAACTTGTTGCTGGAACTTACCAAAACAGTGCTGGGGAGTGCACCAGTGGCCTGCCGGCCATGAGGGGCTACTGCCGGCCACCTGCCGACCAAGAGTGGGACTCTGCCGACCAACAATGGAAGGGTGCTGGCCATCAATGTGGCACTGCCGGCCACTGGTGTGCTATGACACCATTCTGCAACAAAGCACAAAAATAGAGGAAATTGAGGGTCTCCTAAGGGTATGTACGTACCATGTCATTCCATATCACCTCAAAACATCACGGGAGAGGCATCATTGGATCCAAGACCATCAATCAAGCATCTCAATGCATGATGACCAAAGATCCAATCTTGCACAAATTCAATAAATGAAATGCAAACAAGACTCTAAGACCACGGCCTTATCATTAGGGGATCAAAGGCAATGGAGACAACGAGGATTGGCTCACTTTCATCACTTTGAGTATGAAGTGGGCCAATCCACCTTGTGTTCAACATAACGTCCGGTTGAACACGATGCAATGCAAAATGCAACATGCTCATATGTCAATGCTAATGTGGCATGCACAAGACTCTATCATGGAGGCAATGCATGCAAGACATGTTAGGGGCCCAAAACAATAAGGATCATGAAGAGGATCATACAAGAGGCATGTAATACATAGCCTAAACAACCACACTAGCTCTGGATAGAGCTCAAACATGCCAAATCAGAGGCTACAACATGCTAAAATTGAAGCTCAAAGGACTAGACAAACATGCATACATGTTAGTCCACAAACAAGGCATAATACACAACCCTCAAAAGCTATGAAGAAGTGAAGTATATGAGAGTGTGACTACACTATATGTACTGAAATTACATGCCAAATGGTGCCATACCATGCAAACATCACATGTACAAAATGTTAAAGGCCCCAAAACTCAAAGCTAGTCAAGGCCCTTTACACTACAACCATACTAAGCAATGCTTAAATGACTTTAACCGCTCAAAACAGACCTAAAGAAGGTTGAAACAGTAGCAAAAACATGTTAGACTCACAGCATAGATGGCAAGAAAAATTTGCTCATTTGATGGCTCACAAACAAGGCATGAGAGCACAACTCTTAAACACAATAAAAGGGTGATAAACATGAGAGTATCACAGAAGTTTATGCTCTGAAATTACATATCAAATGATGCCATATCACACTAACATCACAAATATAGCATGCTAAGGGCCTCAAAACTCAAGACTAGTGAAGCCAACTATGCCATAGCTATACAAAGCTAAGCATGTATGACCAAGACCACTTAAAACAGACCTCAAGCATGTTAAATCGGTGGCAAAAATGTGCTGGAGCAAAGCTAATACATGCTAGAATGATGAACTAAAGCAAGAAGCATGTTAGGCCAACAAGTAGGATTACACTACAAGTATAGGATGCAACCAACCAATGACCAAAGCAACCTAAAACAGAGTTAAATCAGGTCTGAAAGGTCACAAAAATATGCCTGAACAAAGCCACAAAGAAGTAGAAACACATGCTCAAGTATGAGGCCAACAAGGCAAGCAAGCAAGGCAAGAGGAGAGGGGACCACCCCCTCCCATTTTGGATCTCAAAACCACCTTTCCACCACTGAAATTCCTCTAAGTTTCAGTGGTAGAAAGGCCATGCAAAGGCTATTACAAAAGCTTCAAAGGATGGCTCAAAAGCTTAACAAATAAGGCATACAAGGGGGTGAAACACCCCTAACTCCCACAAGGCCTTAAACACTAATTTAAAACACTTAAAAATAGAGGTCTTTGTAGTTGACAAGTAGGCCTAAAACAATATGCAAAGGTGGCCAAGATTGTGAACAAGAATAAGCTTAAAAGAGAAAGATGCTCACCCTTGAAGAACCACAGCAAGACATCAACTTCTCTGAGCTGAAACTACCTTTTTGAGTCCAAACAAGACCCTCAAGTACCTCAG